ATTTGGCATATATTTACCACATTTTTACGTTTCCTCGGGTCCTCGAGTTGCGTCACACTTTCGATCGACCAGCGACCGCAGTGTTCTCTGACCCAAAAGTAGCCTTCACCCTACGAAGTCTCTAAGGGGTTCGCTTCGAAAAGGGATGCCGCAGAAGTACGTTAACTTACTGAGGTCACTATGTTCATATGCTTCTAGTTAACTGAGGGTCTATTACGAACTGAATAGATTGTTCGTCACCAACAGCGCCTTTCGTCAAGGGTGCCTTATTTCGCCATTTCTGTCGTATTTCGTCATAGACGAAATACCGAAGAACGCCCTAAGTGGTCCCCGAAGTGTTCGCATCGAATGAACAGCTGGAGAAAACTTGTGCGACTTGGAGTACACCGATGACACCGTCCGTCTGTTCGAATGTACACGGAGTGTACTTGGTAGACTAACAAGTACTGTTGCAACATTCGGTATGTACTTAGCACCTTCAAAGTGCAAAGTGATGTAAGACTGGGTTTCACCTAGTCCCGCTTTGAGACTCAGTGATCAGGAATTAGTTCTAGTGGATTGCTTCTCCTACTTAGGTAGTTGTGTGACCACTGACAGTAGCGCATCAGAGGAAAAAACCTCACGCATTTTCAAAGCTTGAACAGTGTAAACAGAACTGAAACACCTATAACGTAAATGCGACGTTTCAATGAAGTTGAAAGGTTACTTATATTGTGCTACCGTTCGTTCTGTTCCGATTTATCGTCGGTGGATCTTGAATTTGCGAGAAAAAGTTATCCATGGACTAGAAATTTTCGACTATCCGTTCTAGCGCATTTGGGCTCACTTGGGATAGAGCAAACGGATTAGTGATTTTTAAGTGTGGTTAGGAGTTTGTCGGGAGTAAATTTTCGAGCGCTTTGAATCCATATTCGTAGACTTTGCTGGTTACGACACGTATAGCGTACATCCAACTGTTGTCTACCCCTACGTGCTTTAGTCGTTGTAGCCGCTTCGGTTCGGAGAAAGTCAGCAGATCACGTGTAGATGAGGCATGAACAAATGCCTAGAGCTAGTAGGTAGAGTAAGTGCCTCGCGCCTGCCATGCGCAACCTGACGGGTTCTGTGAGCTCCATCCTAACAACAACCACTCAATTTTGGTGATCGGCATGTTCGCTGCCGCCCAGTTCAATACCTCTACGAAGCTAATGGGGGCTTACATGATTCTTCGTCACTCCAAGTCTCGGGACTTGGGTTTCCGGTCTCCATGATTGGACAACTGATCCGCGTGACTATGGCTTTTATCCCGGCTGCTGTTCATTACACAAGAACGTGATCTGAGAAAAGAAGTTGTGACCAAATGCTTTATTCACCCGTCCATTTCGCTTATTAAAGATAAAACCGAATGTTTCGTCCTTCGCCATTTACTGCTTTAAGAACTTATGACTGAATAGTCGGTCTGTTGATTTATCGTTCCAGCGGTTGCGCTTGGTATTAGTAACTTACAACTAGCAAGCAGTTACTTGATTTTCGCCATAGCTGAATCATCAGTGTCCGTTGACTGTTTTTCATCACCTCAGATCACTGTTACTCTGGTCAAACTAAAACCTATCCCTCTTGCGATTAGTCAGTATTCGCGTTATGTTTATCTACTTTCCGTCCTCAGTTTATTGACCTTTCTTATTCGACTGCCAATTTTTGTCCGGATTATTTCATCCTCTCATTCATTTCTCCTTCCTGAATTCTAAACAAGGATTTACTTGAGTACAGACGAAGGACCAAGGTTGGTGAGTGTAGCACCAGCTCTGTTAACTCCTCATCGTCCTCCGCATCGACATCCTCTCCAACCAAGGCGACTATATCAAACAGTTCAGACAAGATTGCTCAATCCGAAACTGCTCCAACCGAGTCGGCAGATACTTCGACCACCGAAGAGAACGGCGATGGCACAAATGATTCCGGTTTGCCTGAAACCGGCGAGGCGAAACGGTGAGTAAAACTGGTTCCAATGTTTGTCTATCTCCATTTTCTCCATCATCGGCTGTTTCCCAAACACTTGATAGTAACGAAGGACAACAGCACCAGATGGTATATCAAGGCAAATTTCGCTGTCTGTACTGGAACTTTGCGGTGAAAAACAAGAGGTTACATCGTTTTTCAGTTCTTCAGTTAGGCCCAAATAAGATGGGATTAAATATCCACATTTTTTATCACTGCTAAGGTAATGAGGTTTTGACTGACGGTCTTTACATACACCGACCAGGTTTTCATTCTCAAATGGGAACGGTTTCCCTCACTCTTATAGGCCGGAGATTAGTGCTAGCACAGCTGGCTGAATCTTTTTTGTTTGGCGCGAACCGTAATCCGGCATCAGTAGATACTGAGCGAAAAGTAGCGTAGGTTGTTTATGTGTTCAGTGGTCTTGGATAAAAGCGATCTCTCTCTCTCTCTGGCAACTGGCAACTAATCATTGTCATTACATTGGGTTAGCTCACTGTTAATCTGTGTATTAAGCTCCCGATCGATGCTTTCATTACTCATCGTCATCTATCAGATCTCTGTCCTTCTCGGTTATTCCCAATAGTTTTCGTTCTGTCGAACGCAGATCGATGATACACGATTTTCCACCGTAATTCGGTCGTTGATGGATAGTTTCCTAAAAATCAATTGAAATTTACTGTTTCACGTCAATTCTTTTGTTACGTGCTCCAAAACGTCTATCTGAACTAAAGCGTTTCGGAACACGTGGTGAAATGATTGAAATGGCAGAAACAAAATACTTGCGTATCGTTTTTCCGCCGTGACGGGCTAGCGGGAAGTAAATCGATGGAGCCACACCTAAAGGAACAAGTTGTTAATTTGGCAGCAGGTTGTTTGACGTCGATAATCTCATTCAACAAGTGCGACTGTCTTCACGGATACAATTATCAGTTATCAGGTATTTCTCACTTGGAATTCACAGTTTTTCTTGTCGATGTATCTGGCTGAATCGTCATAGAATAATGGACTAGAACAACCTGGTTGTTTTTACACTGTTTCACGCACTAGTGACTGTGCAATCTGTTTTCTCCCAGTTCCCGCATATTGTTGTGATTGATATCGGAGCGACTTTGTCGTTCGTTAGACAAATCAATCAATCTGATCAATCAAAAATGATACACCTTTCTAATGAACTTGTTTCTCCAATGCCCGATGTACGTTTGATGAACCAGGAGACACTGGAAATAATGTGGAACGTTTGTAGCTCGGGATGTGGATGTTGATTGTTGTGTTCTCCGAGCTGGAAGTGTTGTTCACTGACATTTCGTAGCCAGACTAGGCAACATCATGAGTCCAACTTGGGGGAGGCGTCGGTCCTCAGTGTGACCGCGCTGATCTGGTTCTGTTCGAGGGTTTTGATTGGCCGTATGCGTCTCTTCAATGCTACGAGAAACACTCCCAGCTCGGAGAACACACCACCATCAACATCCAGGAGACACTGTTTACTGCTGGCAGTATTTGATACGTCAAAATCAAGTCTCCTCGAGTTCGGCGGTACTGAGCAGAATATAGTCCCAATGATCGCGATCTATCCTCGTATGTCAGGTAATGGAATCCCTTGACCATCTTGGTGGCCATCCTTTGTGGACGCTCAAGCATCTTGCGATCACGATGAAGCCATGGACTCCAAGCTTGGATGGCGTACTCTGTATAGGGTCGAGTGTACGCTGATAGCAAACGTGGGAATAGTGATGATTCAAACCGGCCAAAGACTCGCCAAAATAAGCCGACATTCTTCACAGCAGCAGACGAAGCCTTAGCACAGTTGTTGGAGCAGCTTAAATCCAACAATACCTAAGTCCTTTTCGCTAGAAGTATGTGGTAGCTGCTGGTCAACGAGGAAATA